TTTTTTTAATACCTAAAGGATCTAGGTATATTGTAACGTATATAATATTTCAATATCAGGCATCCACTTTTTTCTAAAAATCAATAATCAAAAACTGTGACAATCGGCCCCGGTCTCCCCTATATTACATTTTTTTCCGGGAATAGCGATCTTATTTAGCGAAGTGCTTTTACATAATAGGGAGTTTTTGCAATACCGTTTATCCAGATACGGTGAACGTTAAGGTTAGGTTATCTTCTTCTTAACAACTAATTAAGAAAAGGATAACATGGCTTTAGCGTTCACCGTATCTGAATTCACGTTATTGCAAAAACTCCCTAATTGCTCTTATAGATACGGTAAATCGGGTAAATGCCCACAATAAGTAAATCGTGATGTAATAATTATGTGTAATTGTAATGTAAATCTAAAACAATAATCGCCATGGCTGTTTCATGCGAAGAACACAAAGGTCCCTAGTCTTCGTCCGATTTAACATCCACATTGAATTTTAAACCTGTTCCGCGTAGATGTTCTTCCGTCCATTTATCAAATCGTCGAGCGAGGTCCTTTGACATGTAATTCGTCCAATCACCGACTTCACCCTTTCTGATAAATTTGAAATTCGGATCGGTCTTTGTCTCCTCCTTGTCTAGTAGCAGTTGTACGTTCACCGAAGGGTTTGCTGCCATTTTAGAAAATTTTAGATGTTCACATAATCCAGCAACTTGCTCGTCCGTCACGTTTTTGCCTAAAAACTTTGCTGTCTTCTTAATCGCTGACACCTGATCCTGCAAAGCACAACGCGCAATTCAACAAGAGAAATCAAATAAAGATTTATTCCAAAAAACCAATTATTTTACCCGTTTCATTTCTTCATACGTGAGAAATAATATGTTAGCTTGATCTGTCGACTTCCAGAAAGGCAGAATGTGATCCCAAAACGGAGAGAATGGCACTAAACAAACATTATTTCTGAACATTGAACATTGAACTCTAATTTTGATGTTAACTTTGATATTTAACGTCATTTCTCAGAGTTGTAACAGAATATTTATAATAAATTAAAGTAACAATGAAGCTCAATATGTATAAAACAATATAAATATTAACAGGGCATAGAACCAGTATTACAACGAACAAATTTAATTAAAATAATAATATTACAAACGTTTCGACTCCGATCGGGTCATTTTCAATGCACATAAAAATATATCATAAATAACGGTTACATTTGTAAATTCTTTAAAAAATGAATAAATTAATTATAACATATCATAATGTCGCAAGCAAAAACTTATCCTTTATATAAAAAGTGTAAATTGTCCAATATCATAAATAACGTATACATTTGTAAAATCTTAAAAATTAATAAATTAATTGTAACATATCCTGATGTCAGAACCTTCTTACAGAAAACGATTAATTTCTGAAATGGTGCATATTAAGAAACAAAGACACGGTATAAACAGACAAAACGATACAGAGTCATTGCCCGACAGGTATACTAATATGATACATTTCTTAAATTTCTGAAATTTGTCACGGTTCCTGTCTTCTCTCGACATTCTACCTTTAGTTTTAGCCGTCGCTCGTCCTTCGTTAAAAAGTTATTAACAAAAGAAGTTTGAAAAATAACGTATCATTTCTGCTATATATGCAATATTAAATACTGTTCTACATAGGTTTTGACTTTCAACACGAAGCAACTTTCATCTCCCTCCACCCCTGCTTTAGGGGCGCACGAATCTCATCCACGACTCTCACCCCCCTCCCTTCCTTCTTTAGGGGCATACGATTCTTACCTCCGACTCTCACCCCCCTTTGCCACTGCAAAAAGGCGCATGACTTTCACCTTCGACTTTCACCCCCCTCCAACCCTGCAAAGAGTTGCTGGACTTCCATAATTGTCTGTTTGACGACATATGTCAAAGTCGCGGTCGTCGGCACGGCGCAGCGTCCCTTACAGTGTACGACTATCAAACATATTTTAAAGCAGGGAATTTTCGTGTTATAGTTGAATTTTCTTTGTTATATCTTTAAACGTTAATATTTCATTAATCATTGAGCAACCTACAAAATGGTATAAGATTTTTCGATTCAATTCGGTCCGTTCTATCTGCTTGTGATCGATTAGCCGATAATTTTCAAACACCCTGTATATGCAATATTAAATACTATTCTACATAGGTTTTGACTTTCAAAGGAGCGCACGACTCTCACCTCCGACTCTCATCCCCCCTCCCCACTTTAATTTTGTGGATCTAGAAAGTGTACGCCCCTGAAGCAGGGGGGAGGG